ATGTGTTGGCTGGCTCGATCCGTGCCAAGTGCAGGGTCTGCTGGCTGGGTGCTGGCAGGCTTGCACCTGGCATGGGCACCGTAGCCAGCCCTTGCCCCTTTAAGGAGTCCAGGGCCGGGAGGGGGGCATAGAGTTTCCCTGGTGTTGGCCAGAGTGGCCACCAGGGAAACCTGGGGAGGGCTAGCCTCCCACTAGTTTGAATTAAGGGTCTACACAGCTCTTAATTCGAACTAGCTAGTTCGAACTAGGCTTAATCCTCGTAAAATGAGGTTTTCCTAGTTTGAACTAAGCGCTCCGCTAGTTTGAATTAAATTCGAACTAGCGGAGCGCTAGTGTAGCGCCTATGAAAGTTAGTTCGAACTAACGTCCGTTAGTTAGAACTAACTTTGTAGTGTAGACATACCCTCAGGGACTACCCAATAAACTAGTCACTCCCCCCAATCTTGCTGCCTCTGTTTCAAAGGCAGAGGCGCAGCAGGGAACCCAGGGCGAGTGGAGATTCAAGCATTCCCCAATCATGCTGGGTACTCACTGGAGAGGGGACTGCTTGAGTCCCCACTCGACCCGGGTTTCCCCTTGTGCCTCTGCCTTTGAAATGTAGCACCACTTCCTCACTGACTAATTGAGCGGTCGATGGAAATTCCATCAACTACTATTTTATTTCAATTATTTTAGCTGATTTAATTGAAATTTACCATCCCTACTAAGAACTTGGGAAATATATGTGTATGCACATACGCATGCACACACACACACGTGTATATATTATATATATATTTACATGCATTAGAGATGTGAAGGGGTAATGGATTAATCATTACTCAGGAGCTTCCCCCACCTATGGCTCACTGCAAGTTGAGGGCTGTGCTGCTGGGAGTCGGCAGTCTCATTTGGGGGGAGAGGGGAGGACTGCCAGAGTTGGCAGCCTTGCGCAAGCGGGTAGCAGCAGCAGTGGAGGGGAGGGCTCCCCCCTCCACTGCCACTTCTGGCCCTGTGCAAGGCTGCAGACTCCCAACCCATGCAGGCTGGAAGCCAGCAATCTAATGCAGGTTTGGAAGCAGGTGGGCTAGAGCACGGGGACCAATCAAATGGGATTTTGCATCCCTCATATGCATACATGTATGTATATGCTCATACCTTCACTTTCTTCAAATCATATCCCCACTGCAATATAATCTCTCTTTCACAGTGGACAAATATTTTCAACAACAGTTAAAATACTTTTATTTCAGTTTTAAAAATCCATGTTATAATTTTATCAAGGTTAAAGGGTCATCTACCTTTATAGCTGGCATTCGATCATGACCTACTCTGACTTCATTCAGTCATGTTCAGTTCATTACAATTAGATGGATTATCCATGGAAGAAAGAAGTGTCAACTGCATGTAGTGTAATAATAGGATTTTAAAGGGCTTACTTACTTGGCATTCTTCCAGTCTTCCAAGGCAATGGTGTTAGCATATAGCCCTCTTTGTAAGATGCAATAGTTAAACTTAGCCCTAACTTGTAGGGAACTTTTATTAATACCACTCCATTGCTTCCAGTGAGGGTGGAATTTGTCTTTGTGTAGTTTACAAACACTTCTACAATTGCGTGGGGTAGGTATTGATGACTGATGATGTCATTTACTTGAACTTTCAGCGTAAATACAGATCCTATGGGAACAAAAAAGAAAAAAAGGAAACCCATCATGTCTTAGCATAATATATAACTAAGCACCAATATTTTGTCATACTTCACATTACCAGGCTGATGACATGTAAAAATAACCATATTCTGTGGTTTACTGGTTGCCCATTATGCATATATCTCCTTTTCCCACATCCCAAGTTTATGCACTCAAAACAGATTTATCCAACAAGCGCAATGTGATTATTTGACACTACATCACTGCAAAATTATGCTAATAGACTGCTGAGGGGACATTTTCTTTAAAATACATTTCATTCCTTTTGCCATCTTGCAAAGCCACCTTTGTAGACGTGATGTCATAGCTCAAAACTGTTACTTAGCAAAAGGGGGAAAAGATAATGCTATTGGGACACAACATACTGAGATATGAAACTCTCAAGCAACAGATGCTGCAGTTCCAAATCGAAATAAATGATAGCTCTACTGGGACCCAGATTATCTTGTATTTTGTATGAAAGAAGTCTCATATTACAGTGTGCCATGCCTTTCCAACAGAACCTGAGCAACTCAGAACAATACTGACCCTATGTGAATGGATTCAGAAAGTTGTCTGTGATAATTTAGGAATATTATACATTGACTTGGTTATCAGGATGTTTACTGTATGAAAATGCTGGTTTGGTTTAATAGCAGGCTGTAGGAAAAACAAGCAGGTTTCACATAAGATACCTCCAGCTACATGCTTCAAGATGTCTAAGGGTGGTGGGTTACACTGCACCGTAGCTCAAAATAAGCTACGCAATTTGAGCTATACAAATTGATTATCTCGGTTCAATTTTATTTCAAAATAGATTATTTCGTAATTTGGCACTGTCTACAAAGTGCCAAATTTCAAAATAACTTGCGTTCCAAAATATGCCTTACTCCTCATGGGATGAGTTTATAGGAACGTTGGAATAGCGAGCCTGTTATATTTCAAAATAATGCGCTTGCTGTGAAGATGCAGGATAGCTATTTTGGGATACGTAGCAATGCAGATGTTGCCGAAGAGACAATGCTTGGGCTATTAAATGGGAAGGTTTCACTTACTGACATAAACAGATCCTGCTGGAAGGTCTGAAGCAATTTAGTTTTCCTATGCTTCCAACACAATGGGTAGATAAGTCTTATGCAAGATCATCATTTTAGGCCAGGGACTGTTTTTCAGTTCAGTGCTGGTCCATAATGGGTGCTTCTAGTTGCGATGTCAAAGTACAAACAGTTAACCGATAAGCCTGGGCTTATTGGTTAATGTTCATGGTTACACGCAGGCTCCTGCTCTACTCCTGGGGAGCCAGCTACCACCCCGTACTGCTCTCTGTCTCAGAGGCAGCATCATGGGGTAGCAGATGGCTCCCTGAAAGTGGGGAAACAGGCAGGAGCTGGTGTGTGCCGAGAACTGGCTTAAAAGAGCTCCCAGTGTGCACTAGCTGCCACCCCACTATAGGAATAAGAAACTATGTCACTACTGAGATTTTCAGGGATGACACATTTACCCAATTAACTACTCTTTAACATCCCTTACTCCTAAGTGCTATGGTAGCAGAAATAATAAGTAGCTATAATAGTTACTTAGATCATTTAAAAAAAACACCTTATCTTTTCTCTTATGTATTGTTCCTATGGTCAAATAAACAGTACTTTTTATTTTAGAAGGCAATTTTGAGTGTCTAGATCCACTGCTCACAGACACTTGAAGGGATGAACTGCAGCTGCCAGTTGTACCTGTTGGACTGAATGTGGTTCATCTGCAGAGTATTCTAGGACAGGACCTAGTCGAAGAATGGAAGAAATGCATAATTCCACTGACGATTAGAATGCATAGGAAAGAATTTGCCATTGCCTCTGATCCAGATTCAGAGAGATTTTCTGAATCATCCCCAGAGTTTATGATGAGGCCCCAAAAACCCATTGAAAAATTCCTTCCTAAATACAAGAACTCAGATCACCACCAGAAATGAAGAATCTCCACTAATTTACAAGCTCATAGTGCATCAATGTTTTCTGGCCTGAAGAACTGCAGCTTGCAAGGTAACCATTCTTCCTGGGTGTTTTGGTCAAGAGGGGATCCAGTTCTACATTTAGATCTCAATATAAGAAATGAGTATTTGCAAACAATAGAAAGACTTCACTGAAGGTTTTTTTTAATGTTTTTGCTGAATCTAAAGTTTTAAATCCAGTGAAAAATATTGTAGTTAATGCAGCTGAAATGTAATTTAAATAAATACCTAGAGTAATGTATTTTCATTCTAGTGCAGGCTTGCCCTATCACAGAAAGAGCACATTTTGACAAACGGTCATATTTTGCACGCCATCATGCATCTGAGCAGGCCTTATTCACGAAATTATGTCCATTGACTTCCATGAGTCACAGTCTAGGCCACATTCATCCTAGATATACCTGTGTAGATCTTACATGTATTTTTAGGGGCGAATTTAGAGACATGTAATTTAGAGGCGTGTTGCAATAAAGGTCTGCACAATAAAAGGAAAGTTAACAAGAAGCTAGACAGCGACATGACAAGAGAAGCAAATGCCAAAAAAAAAAAAAAAAAAAGCTTGTAACAGATTTATGTATGTGCTTAAATAGTCCACTAACCAGGGATGCACATATGCTTGTGGTTTAAGTTAAGTACAAGCTTAAATACTTTGCTGAATTAAGGCCTAATGGATGATACAGAATGAATGTCAGTGGAGGTCTCAGGCAGGTAGATTCCAAACTGGATTGCTGAATAGCTTCAAGTAACAGGCCCAAAGCCCTATTTATTTATTATTATTTTTAAAACACACTTGCTGTTTTCAAACAAGTTTTTTTCAGAATCTACTCAAAGCTCTAGGATTTCTGCTGAATTCCAAGGATTAGCAAGTAGATGATCAACTATATCAAAAGCTTTAGCTAAAATCCATAAATGAAACAGTACCCATTCATTTACCATCCAAAGCTAATAAAATAGCCTTTCAAAATGTACGTCAGAGTAAAAGTTACAGATATCTTCCTAACCCCCAACAACAATCTCTGAAGGATGTCATTAATCATAGGCTTTCCATGATAGCTAAACTCTGTGGCTATGTCTACACTTCAGAGATTTTGCACAAAAACTCGCGGAATGTCCACACTACAAGAACGTTTTTGCGCAAGAAAAAGTACAGTAGATAGCAGCAGCGGATATAGGACAGGGCGAGCAGGGTGGCTGCCCTGGGCCCCGAACTTCAATAGGCTCCACGCACACGCTACTACCTGTCGGCTGTGGTTGTGGCACATGCGCAAAATTGTGCTGCCCCAGACCCCGCGCTTCAATAGGCCCTGGGCCTCGCAAAACTCTCATCCGCCCCTGGTAGATAGTCAGAAGACAGGGCTTTTTGCGCAAGAGTTATTCCTCTTTCTACGAGGAATAAGCCTTTTTGCACAAGAGCTCTTGCACAGAAAGGCGTGTGTGGATGGACACCAAGAGTTTCTTGCACAAGAAACCCCTATCGGAAAAAGCATGGCAGTCCACATGGCAGTGTGCACACTCTCTTGCGCAAAAGCACATCTCTTGCACAAAAGCACATGGCAGTGTGGACGCGCTCTTGCACAGGAACTTTTTGCAGAAGATCTCTTCCACAAAAAGATCTTGTGCAAGAAGCCTGCAGTGTAAATGTAGCCTAGGATTATTCAACAACTCTACAGAGAAAAATAAAGGGTATTTAGTACCCTTCTCTAATGTTTAATAAACTCTAAAAACAATGTAATGATCTACAAGATTAGAAACCAGTGTTCACGTATAACACATCTGATTTATACTATCAGCTAATTTAAAATAATTGGGACAGTTGACATTTTATCCTGTTAATCTGAGATTACAAAGAATTTCATTGAGATGCTAATTTGAAATAATTCTTATTTTAAACAATTATGAATTCTTTTAAAATTCCTGAAACAAAAGTGAAAAGGCCAGAATGGCCTTTATTTATAAAGTGTTTATTAGAGTGTATACATACCAGATTTTTAAACAGCTATTCATAAGCTATCTTCATTATAATCATGATTGACATTTTTTGTCTGACTTTCTACTTAGAGGCAAAGCTGGTTGAAAGTTCCAGATCTTACAAAGTCCCATTCAAATAATGATAAAGGATAGCCATAATATTTTAAAATATGTCAACTATCCCCCGAGGTAGTTCTAACCTTTTAAAGTCTAATGCTAAATGTCTAAGTATTTCTTTTCTAAATTCAACAAGTCTGAAAAAAGTTTTAAATTTAATTGTTACTGAATAGGGGATCTCACTCAACTCCAAGAAGCCAATAAATAAATAAAAAAAATAGAAAGGAATTCCATAAAATTAATACACTAATTTTCCTCTTCCTTCACGTGTATATATCCTCCATTAATCCTAATGAGTATTACATGTGGATTAAGAAAAACAAGGAATGGAGCAACAAAAAAGTCAGTTCAGCATTCATGTGATTAAATGTATTGTCTCTGCATGTACAGATTAGTGATGTTGCCCTCTACCCACAGAAAGTGAGTGGTCCACAGAAAGAAATGGAACATGCTGTTACTTGTCAGCTAAATGACTTCTCCTTTAGATCAAGTGGGAGAAGCTGGTCATTTGGGAACAGAAGATTTGGAGTGCGCTAGCCCTGACTCCTGCTGTTCAGATTTATGTCTGTTTTTAGCTTGTAGGTTCATCACAGACAGCCCCTCAAAAGTGATTTTACACTGCAAAGGAAAAGACCAGAATATGGAACTGTCTTTTTGCAGCATAGCAGGAACACTAAAACCATTAATACAAGGCTCAGGATCTACTATCAGTCTTTTCAGATGTAATCTGTCAAATTCATCTGGGTTGATAACAGAAAACAAAGAAAAAAACCTATACATTTAATGACCTCAATTGTAGTGGGTAACACAAGCTCAAGGTGGTGTTCTGGAGACTGTGAGAGGGATCCTCATTTTCGCTTAGAAGATGCCTAACAGGGACTGTTTGGACCTCCATGCTC